CTGACAGACGGGAGAGAGATCTCTCGTTTGGAGGAAGAGAAAAACATCAGACGAATTTTTTGCAGTTGGCGACACTAAAACTGCAATATAATGTTTATGTAGCATAATACATATGACATATCTTTTTTAAATGTCTCCAGTACAGATAGAAAGACCGATAACGTCGGAGCTTAACGGTACCACGGTCTCTAATAATTCAGCCCCGGGGCCCGTTTAATACCGGGGCTCGGTACCCATCCCCACTTATCTTCCTGCAGCTCAATGTGACGCTCCTAAACGCTTGTTTCATCCAAAACTCAGTCACATTTTCCATCAGACTTTCGTCGCTAAAACACTCATAACATTTCATATAATTCTGTATTAAAATGTATCAAATGCTCTTAAATCAAACTTGGTGAACCCTTCAGAAACCTAATGGAATATCTAAAACATTTACTATATTAAATAATATCTTTAAATGTATTTGAACAACTATAAACTATGGAAAGACTTCAGTGAGAGGCACATTGTGACATTTATTCTCTCTGACACATGCAACATCATGTCTTGTCTCACACACACACACACACTCTTTCATTGTCTTGGTTTTGACAGCTCCTTTCGCTCTAACACACTCCTGACGTCACGTGACTTGAATTTTGAATTGAAGCCATCCCTTATAGATACTATCTCTTTACGTATTAGTGATGGCATTTCCGGATCATTTGGCTCGGCTCTTTCGGCTCCCAAACGGCTCTTCATGTTACCACAGTTCACCACGGAGCCTCAGTTTCACCGCTGCGAGGCTCCGGCGCTCGCAGTTCACGCTCGTGCTCCACTAGCACCGTCAAGGCTCGCCGGCAGTACACTTTCCGTCACAGGAACACGCTTTGCTGGCGTTGAAAATAATCCCACCAGACTCCTTTGCCCCTCCAACAGATGGATGTCCGTGTCCTTTTTGTCATTTCAAGCGATACAAACTCGACGGCAAGACGCCCCCCTGGCCGAAACGCTGGTTCTGCCTGTGTCTACAGCCTTTAAATCTTTATTTCATTGTCTTGTTGATATTGTGTCCTTCAGGTTCTGTGGCACCTCGATATCTTCAGACGTAGTTTCCGTCAGCTCACCATTCACAAGTGCATGGAGGACTCGTGCATTTTCTGTGCTCTGAAGGTGAGAATCCTTAAGACCCTTAAAACTGACCCCAGAGCAGCTTCCTGTTTCTAACTCCCTCTCTGTCTCTTTGTCTGTATCTTTAGAGCATCTTTGCCCAGTTTCAGTACAGCAGTGAGAAAGTATTACCGTCCGACGCTCTGCGCAGTGCGCTTGCCAAAACCTTCCAGGACGAGCAGAGGTTTCAGATGGGCATCATGGACGACGCTGCAGAGTGCTTTGTAAGACCACACTGTAAAATCACTCGGGGGTGAATTCTTTTGAAGGGTTGTGCATCCGCTTAACCTGCAAACATTTGACAAAAATACATTTCCTGTAACGGTACATTGAGGTGTTTTGGTGTAACCAGATGTAATGTTTCTGTTCCTGCAGGAGAACATCTTGATGAGGATTCACTTCCACATCTCAGACGAGACCAAAGAAGACATCTGCACCGCCCGACACTGCATCCCCCACCAGAAGTTCGCCATGATGCTTTATGAACAGGTGAGATGGAGACAGGTTAACCAACCATTGCATCATCATTACCCATTCATCTGGTTTTATACATCTATTAGTGTTACATCTCTATTTTCATCCCGTTTCTTTTCCATATTGATTTTGATATAAAAACACTTTTTCAAGTTTAATTGTCAGATGTGATGTTAACCTGGTGTGTGTGTGTGTGTGTGTGTGTGTGCGTGTGTGTCTCAGTGTGTGTGCAGCAGCTGTGGAGCGTCCTCAGATCCTCTGCCCTTCATTCAAATGGTCCACTACATCTCCACCACCTCCCTGTGGTAAGTGTGTGTGTGTGTGTGTGAGACTATAAGTAGCTTTCATCTCAGAAGAAGTAAGTTGAGGCCACACATACACATTCCTGTCGCTAGGTTACATTTCGGGGTCACCAAGGCAACCCACTAATTGCTCTCTTCATCTTCACAGACGCACACACACAGAGGTGATTTGTTGGGATTGTGCTTTAACTCTTATTCACATTAGTGTTTTGTATACACACAGGAAGTGCGTCAACAATTGTGCAACCATAACAGAAAGGGGGAGGGGGTGTTGAAACGTTTTGCCACCTTAATGTCAAGAGCTGTGGCTTTTTTCTGTGATTTGAATAGAAAAAAATAAATGACATGACTCAAAAGTGTCATAAACTGCAGCTATGAAAATCACATCTCTCCTCTTCCCTCTTCATCATCCTCCTCCCTCCTTTTTCCACCTCTTTCCTCCATTCTCCATCCCTTCCTTGCCCGCCCCTCTTCTCCTCCCCCTCCTCAGTAACCAGGCAGTGAAGATGTTAGAGTCGAGGGAGAAAGCCACTCCTGGTATGTTTGGTGAGCTGCTGCGTAATGCCAGCATGGGAGACCTGCGCAGCTGTCCTGTAAGAAACACCACATTAAAAACACTACAATAAACACCAAAACAATACTCTTCACAGTTTGTTTTTTCCCACAGAAATAGAGAGGCGAAGTCCCGCCCATCTACTTCCGACCCATGGGACCTTATTTGGGAAAAATTATGTATTGAAGTCAATGGAGAGAGAAAAGTTATCTTTTGATCCCGTTTGAATTGTGCCACGAATTACACATATGATGTTTGTCACTTAAAAAATAATTTCCATGTCAAAAAAGTCACAGTTTGTCGTAAAACTGTTGAAATATAAGACTATGAAAAATACGCAACTAGAAAGACTACAAATCCCAGAATCCCGGTCCCGCATGCTGGCTCTTACGAACCGACTAACTCCCCTTGTGTGTATGCACAGCTCTCAACGTGCCCAGACTTGGAGTGATTTTCACCTCTTTTAATACTTTTTGCCTCATTCTGAAAGAAAGAAGTGAAATGTTTCAACGTGACGGCCGTCTTGGTGTGTGGTGCGAGACGGGAGATGTAGGTCATTGAGCGGTTCACACAAAAAGTGTTACTTCAGTTTTACGACACATTTTTATTTTTTTGACTGGCAAAATTATCTTTTAAATTGACAAACATCATATGTGTAATTCGTGGCACAATTCAAACGGGATCGAAAGATAATCTTTCTCTCTCCATTGACTTCAATACATACTTTTTTCCGAAATACGGTCCCATGGAGCTCCCCCGGAAAGGGAGGGACTTCGCCTCTATATAACATAAATAGGACATACATGGAGATGCTTACTGCACCTGTTGTACATCAGGGTTAATCATACATGCCCTCCTTGGAAACCAGAAGGACATACGATTTCTTGATGCTATCGATTTTCATAACGTACTAACATTATCAACATATTACAGACATTATCACTCCCCCTCATTGGCAACATGGTCGCACAATACCTGAACCATTATGATAGTAAGAACCAGTGATTTAAAACTGTGAAGAGTAAAGCACTGGTTCTTACCAAGTATCGCTCCTCCTCCTCCTCCTCCTCCTCCTCCTCCTCCTCCTCCTCCTCCTCCTCCTCCTCCTCCTCCTCCTCCTCCTCCTCCTCCTCCTCCTCAGAGGCTTGTGGCCAGCAGCTCCGTATCGCCCGGGTCCTCCTCAACAGTCCGGAGATCATCACCATCGGCCTGGTTTGGGACTCGGAGCAGTCGGACCTGGCCGAGGACGTCATCCACACCCTGGGGACCTGCCTGCACCTCGGAGATGTACGGAGGACTTTGAACACACACACACACACACACACACACACACACACACATCGGAGCAGGAGATATTAATATGTGGTGCTTTAGAATTGTTGTTTTGTTTCCACCATTTTACTCTGTAGCACTTTGAGTTTTGTTTTCTCAAATGAAAAGTGTGCTTATAAATCAAATTGATTATTATTATAATATATTGAGATGAGGAGGGAGGCAAGGGAACGAGAGAGGAGACAGGGGAATGTATGCAGGCTTTTTAAACACACACAGCTGGAAACGAGAAGGAGTATTGAATGTATTCCATGTACTGGGACAAAGTAAATGAGGCAGAAAGAGGGAGGAGGAGAGAGGAGTAGGGAAAAGGTGGAAGTGGACTAGTTAGAGTGGGGAAGGAGGAGTGAACAAGATCTGAATGCAAATAAAAATGATCAAGAACTGACTTGTGTTTTCAAAAAGGTGTATCAAATGTATTCAATGTAATGGGATGAATTCAATTTCTGATTCCTAAATCAGTCATTAAAGGTAGGCTAGGTAAGAATGGAGAAACCAGCTCGAGTGCGCTAGAATTTGAAAGTACACAACCGAAAAAAATCTGCCCCTTCCTTCAGACTTCCTCACAGAGCCCCTCCTCCAACACACACGAACGCGCACATGACCAATGAGGGCACGAGATAAGTTTGTGCACAGATGGAAGGCTGACAGGCAGGTAGGCCATCCAGTTACTTTAGCCGGGCCGGCTCAGATGATTGGTCGTGCTTTTTACAGCGCCACGGCTTCCACAGATGACATGTTTTAATGTATTTATTGTCAAAGCATTTAATATATTCATTGCTATCGAGATGTTAAGAGCATTGCATGGAATATAACTGGTGTTTCTGAAGTGAATCACCTACCCCACCTTTAACACGTAGTGATAGCATTTTTCCTTCCTAAGCATTTAATAAAAAAATCATTTTAACAATCGCTTTAATAAAAATATGTGTCATCAAGGTTCAAGGCTTTTATTAGTCGTGTGCATAGCTACAGTTTAGTTATGACGATGAAAATCTTAGGTCACAGGCTCCTCCAACAGTGCAACACAATCAAACAAACACAGAAGAAAATAGTGCAAGTAAATACAAAAGGAAAAATAGTAAAAACGTGAAATAGTGCAAGTGATTGGAATGATATATTAGATAAAGCAGCCAGATTAATCAGTGTATAGAAATAAGAGAATATGCTTTGCGGCTTCACTGAACTCTTGCTCTCTCTGCAGTTGTTTTACAGGGTGACGGAGGAGAAGGCCCGTCAGTCGGAGCTCTACCTGGTCGGCATGGTGTGTTACTACGGGAAACATTACTCCACCTTCTTCTTCCAGACCAAGATCCGCCGATGGATGTACTTCGACGATGCACACGTCAAGGAGGTATGTTCACTCATGCAACGGGAATATAAACAGTACACTAATCAAGACATTTTGGGTGTCCTGGCAGCCTCGCTGTGGACAAATGAGGCACCGCTGTGAAGTTAGTTTTAGATAGAGTTTCACTTAAGGAGGCTCAATAATAATACCCAAGTCTCCAAATTACTTAATGGTGCCCTATTATGCTCAGTATCAGGTTCATATCAGTATGTAGTGTCTCTACTGTGACATGTCTCCATGCTTTAATGTTCAAACAGCTCTTTATTTCTCATACTCTTTTCACCCTCTGTCTGAAACCAGAGCCCAGTCTGCTCTGATTGGTTAGCTGGCTGGCTCTGTTGTGATCGGTCAACCGCTTAGAGATGTCCCACCCCTTAGCCTATCACGTACAATGTGTTGGAGCGCTAGCCAATAGAAGCTGTTACGTCCCGGCTCGTGGAAAGTGGAAAATAACATAACCAGTTGGAATTGATCAATTGAAAGTTGTTTTATTGAGAGTGCTCAATAAAGTTGGCAACAAACAGCCACAATCCAAAACAAAAAGCCACAAATGTACCAGTTTAAACAAACAACAAAAGGAACTAAGGGAGACTCTTTAAATAAGAGTTAATATAAACAAAATAAATAACAACAAAATAACCTAAAGAAAATCTCACTTCTAAAGTGGAATACAAATAAGGAGGCTAACAAAAATAGGCAGTCACCAAAACACAGCCTGGTTACAAGTTAACCTCCGTAAACGTTTGTATTACAAGATAAACAATGTTACAAGAACAAGCACAAAATATACACACAACCTAGTTAACGACTGTTAACAGAACTAACACAGAATTAACACAGGATGTACTGAGAGAGTACCGAGAGACATCTGCCACAGATGCAGACCTCTCTCGACTAACACGGTGCACACGGTCTTGTAGTTGTCCCGGGAAGGAGAGTCGAGCCCGGCCTGCTCCAATCCAGACCTTCGGTCAAGCCTACCGGGGGGGGACAGGAAACCTGCATCCAAAGGCGTCTGGGCAATGGCACAGCTCATATACATATAACACACACAGCTGCAAACACTTACAGACAGGTTAATAGGCAGATAGAAGGCGGCGGCCGTAACAAAGCGCAAGTGTTACATACTGATGTTATTATGTTACAATAGTCCACAAAGGAGTGCACTTTGGGATTTCATCCTTTGCAGATATGTACATGCACAAAAACCTAAAGAACACACTACAGGAAAGGGAAAACACTAAAAATAATAATAGGGCCTTTTTAAAATCCAGACATCTCAATAATGGGTTGATCTTGACAGCCCTTGTGGACGAAAGCGGTAATGTTGTAACGAATAGCAGCTGCCAGACTCCCTTTTTAGAATAATCTGATTTCACTGCAGCAGGGTGTGTTTGTGGTGTTCCATGGAAAGGAAATTCCCTCATGCTGTAGTCATATCTCTGTCTCTTCCTGTACCTCCTTCCACTCTTCCATTTTTACTATTTTTTAAAATATTATTCTTGCCCTTTTAAAAATATTAGTGGAATGAGATATCACACTCCCTCACTCCCTCCATGTCCCTCTCTCTCTCCGCTGGTTGTGAAAACAAGGATATCCCCCTATTGTTGATCAGTCCAGCTGGATGGGACTGAGGGTGTGGTCAGAACACACACACACACACACACACACACCACAGGCCTGACACTTTTGCTAACACATCTCTTTCTATCTCTTGCACTAACACACACATTTTCACACACGGTTTGACGAATGCCTCGGCGTTTTTTCAACTTCGGGACGTCCTGTTAGATCGGAGCAGATCTGAAGGCGATCGGGGACTTTTTTTTTAGGTGGGGAAATGGAGGAAAGGTTGGAATAACAATCAGGAGGACTTCGGTTACGCTCACAGACAGAAATCAGGAAAACAACGTTGTTTTTTTCTTCAAAACGGCCGTCACGCGTTTACTGTTTTTCCTGCTGAGCTCTGTTTTCTGGACATTATTACTCCAGCTGGTAAACTCGCCAGCTACACTTGATGATTTGTTATGATACTTAACGTGGAAAGCTTTATATATAAAGGAGGATGTCAGCTATTTCTAAACATATGACAGTGTAGGGTTGAGTGTGGGTACTTTGAATCCTTTACTGAATTATATTTAAAAGTTGGTTATAAATACCCAAGATTCAAATAATTAATTGAGATTTAAAAAGCAAAATCTTCAAAACTGCATTTACCTGAAAATGTAAGAGCATTAATGAATAGTTTCAAGCTTCCTACATATCGGTGTTTATTTAGCATTTCCCTCAGCTTTCTGATTCATCCTCATGTTATTGTCACTTTCTGCAGATTGGCCCCAAGTGGAAGGACGTGGTTTCCCGCTGCATTAAGGGCCACTACCAGCCCCTGCTGCTGCTGTACGCCGACCCGAGGGGAACGCCGGTATCCGTCCAGGACCTTCCCTCTCGACTCGACCTCCGTCACCTCAACAAGGCCGGCTACGACAGCGAGGACTCGGGTAACTACAACACAGCTAGGAGTCGTAGTAGTAGCACAACAGCAAACGTTCAGGTAACTAAACCGGAAACGGTAGCACTTGTTGTAGTCGTAGTTGCACTATGACAGACAACACTGAGGTAACTAAAAGACAGCTAATGCACACGTAGTTATAGAAGTCGAGTTCAGGTGGCTGATGTTAGACAGAATTATGGTTTTGCCATTAAAAAAATGAACCTTTGGGGTTTTTACTGATGTATTATATGGTCGAGAACAAAAGGTTAAAATCTCTTTAGCTTGTGTTAGCCACCGATGTTATTTCAGGCTACCAACCAAACGAGAAGTGCTAAACAGCTGAGTCATGTCAGGGTTTCAGGACTAATTTCCTGCATTGCTAACACTATGGTGTGTTCAGGCTCTTTTGATCTAAAATAAGTATCGGTAAGTAAGGTTAAATTACAACTTTATTGTCATGTGGTCCACTTCCTTTATCATGTGATCCACTTCCTAACAGACCAGTTTGCAAACGTTCACTAGTAACGTTTCACTAGTATTGATATCGTCCACAAAATGTCAGGTATCGTGACATCGCTAGTCTGATGTGATGCATATTTATGTGTGTGTTAGTGTACGTGAATACATCACTGACGGCCCCACTCGTTTACTAACCCCCCTCCCCCTCCTCAGGCCGTGAGCAGTCGATCTCCAGCGACACTCGCACCGACTCGTCGACTGAGAGCTATTCGTGTCGACAGCCCTCCGTCTCGCACCATGAGTCCCTGGTCTCTCACTTCTCCTCTGACTCCCAGGGAACCATCATCGAGAGCCCCCCCCCCGGACCCCTGCACACCTCTCTCTGCAGCCTGGAGACCCTAGGTGGGTCCCTGCTCATTAAATATCAGTTGTGATAATAGTTGCTTTTTAAAAAATAATTATTCAAGCATTTTTCAAGCGAAAACTAAATATTTTTAGGTCCAGAATTTGTTTTATTGCCAATAAGAAAATCCCATTTTTAGGTTTGTTTTTTTAAGCTTTTAATTAAAATCTAACTATATTCAAGGTAATCTTTCAACAACCCATCGAAATGTCCTGAAATGTATATAATTGTAATTATTTAATTGCAGTTTATAGTCTCTCAAATATGAATTTTTGTTTTGTTTTCATATTATAGTAAACATTTTTGCGTTTTCGACGCTACCATTTTTATATACAAAATCATTAATCTAGTTATTACTCTCTATCTACTTATTCTGCGAGTTAGTCCTCCTACAAAAATAATGGGAGGTTAATGTATGTAATTTAGTATGAAAACAAACGTTCATTCATTTTAAATCATTCATTTACATTTTGGATTTGCCAAGTTTATTTGTATTTGCTGCGCAGCCTATCACGCTCTGCCATTCGTCTCCTCTCATTGTGTTGCATGATGGGCTGTAAACATCCGTTGCCATGCTTCTTGTTGCTAAGGCCCCGTGGCGGACAGCGAGCAGCACCAATCTCTGAGGAAGGGAGGCGGGGCTGGGGATAGGAGGCGGAGCTCTAGCCGCCACCGTCGATCTAAACCCGACAACGAAGCCTCGTCGGCCGGGTACCACAGCGAGGGTAGGCAGGGGGCCAATCAGGGGCCGGGGATTAAAGAGTGAAGGGGCCAAGATCTCTTGAAGCGTAACTTATGTATTTCTAATATTCATGTTTTTATGTCTAAGTGACTAACCGGGGCTACATTTGTTTTTAATTGCTGCAGCATTGAAATACTTCAATGTAAGTCTACCATGATGCCCCGTCAATGTCTGTCCACCAAGTCATAATACAAATCCATTTTGTGAACATGCTTGCTTGTTTTTTTTCCCCCCAAAGCTTTATGGCCTTTCATCCACTCCCAAAATAACCACTTTAGGTCAGAAAACGATCAAACTGTATAGATGAGAGTAACACATGCGTCACTTCCGTGCAAAAATGACGGCTCCGCCCACTTTTGGGGGAAAGCAAAGCTGTCATTTGAATGGCGGTCAATACGAATTCTGAAGTTTTTGCCAATCCGATCAGAAATGTAAGAAAACCGTGAATTTTTGGATCTTCAAAGAGCCCGATTACGATGGCCAGACAGGCAAACAATTACATTAAATTGGAAATCGACAATCGGGCTCGATATATGGTTAAATATAGCAGTAGGCGATCGATGTCCACAGATGAGAGTGACATCTACGTCACTTTACGGCCCCGCCCACTTTTGGGGGGAAACCAACGCTGTCATTTGAACGGCGATCGAGCCTGAAGCCACAGAGCTCTTCTGTTACTGTCCTTTCTTCTTAGAGGAAGTACAGAAACACGTAACTCTGGATTTGTTTTAATGTTTGAGGAGCAATAAATGACGCAGCAGCTTGTTGGCATGTTAAAACTATTATTTTCCGCCTCGTTCATGAGAGTAACAGCTGGAGAAATTACAGCCTCGCCTACTGATTTTAATTTAACCATATATCGAGAACGATCGTCGATTTCAAATGATTTAATGTAATTGTTTGCCTGTCTGGCCATCGTAATCGGGCTCTTTGAAGATCAGAAAATCCACGGTTTTCTTACATTTCTGATCGGATTGGCAAAAACTTCAGAATTTGTATTGACCGCCATTCAAATGACAGCGTTGTTTTCCCCCAAAAGTGGGCGGGGCTGTAATTTTCGCCCGGAAATGAAGTAGGTGTTTCTCTCATCTATACAATGTCTAGCATGAAGTTTTGCAGAAACTCTGTTTTCAGTGTTGACGTGTTTTACAGGAAAACATTTTTGACTTGTAATTGAGAGTGAACCGTGATATCGCTCAAAATGGAATAATTTGACAAACGGATAACTTCGACACAAAAACATAGGAAACAACCAAGTTTACCTGTAAATATCGTTATTTTAGAAGCTGTAAACAAGACTAACAGCAAATATAAAAGTGCACTTTATTAATGAATTTTAATAGATATATACCAGGTTTATTTTTGACTACAGTAATATTTATTATTCTACAGCTTAAAGGTGGGGTAGGTAATTCACTTCAGAAACACTTGTTATATTCCATGGAATGCTCTTAACATCCCGATAGCAATGAATACTTTAAATGCTTTGACAATAAATACATACAAACATGTCATCTGTGGAAGCCGTGGCGCTGTAAAAAGCACGACCAATCGTCTGAGCCGGCCCGGCTAAAGTAACTGGACGGCCTACCTGCCTGTCAGCCTTCCATCTGGGCACACATTTATCTCGTGCCCTCATTGGTCATGTGCGCGTTCGTGTGTGTTGGAGGAGGGGCTCTGTGAGGAAGTCTGAAGGAAGGGACAGATTTTTTCCGGTTGCGTTCTTTCAAATTCTAGCGCACTCGAGCTGGTTTCTCCATTCTTACCTACCCTACCTTTAAGAATGAATTGGTTTGATCCTGTAAAAGTAAAGATGCTACTTGTTGTAGAACATTTTGTGAGGCTCTAATAAAATATTCAGCTTTCACTTTTTAATAATAATTAGACATTAAATGCTTCTTTATGAGATAAGCTAAAGTTTCGCTTTGATTATTTCTTGTTTTTACCCATATTTAATCATTTTTCATTCAATTCTCATCACTCTTATGTTATCTCCATTTGTGGTTGAATTGTTATGGTATTTAACTTATTTCCTTTCCCTCCTTGCTTCCTCTCTTATCGTTATATTCCTCCTCCTCCTCCTCCTCCTCCTCCTCCTCCTCTTCCTCCTCCTCCTCCTCCACTCACTTTCCTCTCCCCCACCAGGAGAGACATTAAAGGAGCAACAGGCTCCTCGTCCCCCCCCCAAAACTTCCTCCTCCTTCTCCTCATCCACCAATCGCCTCCGAGAATTCAAGGAGACGATGAGTAACATCATCCACAACCGTCCCCTCTCCTCCTCCTCCTCTTCCTCTTTACCAGCCACCATCACCTCCTCTTCCTCCTCCTCCTCTAACAACCACCCCCCCGCCCCTTGCTCCTCCTCCTCTAACCCCTTGGAGTCTGATGGCTCCGGAGGGTCCGGGAGGTGGAGGCCGCGGAGGGAGGCGCTGAACATCGACAGCATCTTCAGCCGAGAGAGGCGCAGGCAGGCGGGGTACAGTCCGCTGGGAGCACCCCTGCCCGACTCTGGAGCTCCAAGGGAGGATGAGGAGGAGGAGGAGGGGAGGAAAGCAAGGACTCTCCCCCACTCCTCCTCCAGCTTCCACAGAGGAGGCGCACAGGGACTTCCTCCTCCTCCTCCTCCCCCCCCCAGACTGATCCAGAGGATGGAGAGCGGGTATGAGAGCAGCGAGAGGAACAGCAGCAGCCCCGTCAGCCTGGACCTCCACCTGGGAGACAGGTTGGGAAATAATCCTCTAATTAATTGGTCATTTTTCATTAAGAAATTGCATTAAAATGTTGTTTTCAGACCCTTTAATATGGTAGAAATCAAAGAACGGCAGGAAATCTCCATATTTAAGTTAACATCTTTGGGTTTTGGACTGACTAAACAAGACACCTTGGACTTTTCCTAAACATTTTTCACTTTTTTTCTTGACCATTTTAAGACCAAAAGTCTAGACATTTTGAAAATAATAGTAGTTTTTGCCTTAGTTTGAAACCCTCCTTAGAATTCATCATATGTCTTTAGTTTTTGGGTCTAATGGCGCTTTTCCACTGCAGGGCCTCGCACGGCTTAGTACGGTATAGTTAGGCCTTGGTAGGCCAGGCTCACTTTATGCTGCGTTTCCATTACAGTTTAGGAACTGGACAGTAACTATGGTAACGCAGTGTAGGCGGAGCCGTGACGTCATCTTCAATGCGAAACACAAAATCAACATCAGCCGTTAGCTCTTAGCACTCAGAGCTCACAGCTCCTCATATCTGTTCAGAAACTAGACAAAAGTTAAACAAGTACAAACCACAGACTGCCTGTGTCATGGAGAATACAGTCGCTGGTTTATTTATGTCTGTATAGGCCGTTGTTGTGAGTGTGGACGGTCGGAGCATATACAACGTTAGCTTAGCCGATCTCCATTCAGAAAACACGCATTTTAAAAGGTTTTTCGCCTGCCGTCTGTCTGCAGACTTGTCAAAGCATTAATTCATGGTTTTTACTAACCGGTATCAGTATGTTGTTACTTCGGCATCATTTTGAAACGTGTATTACAATTAAATCACCATAAAATATGTTCATTTTCTTGTAGCCCCCTTGCCAGCGATTCTCTCACTAGTTTAGCATACTCAGCCCGGTTGTTGGCCCGGAAAGAACCTGGATTTTGGAGAGCCAGAAAAACTGTGAAAAAGTACCCGTTAGCTGGAACTACCCCTAGTGGAAACGCAACAAAAAACGGGCCGGGTTTGGCACAGCACGCTTAAACCGTGCTACATGCTGCAGTGGAAATGCGCCATTACACTCTTAAATACTAACCCCCAACCAAACTCTGTACAATTTACTGAGCATTTAACAATTAAAATGCTGCCTCCCTTCAGATTCCTCATTCCTGGGGTACGGAAATGGATTGATAATTGATTTAATGTGCAGCCCTAATATCCTCTCTCTCTCTCTGTGTCTCTTGTGTTCAGGGAGTGTGCTGTGAAGAAGCCTCCCTCCTCCTCCTCAGGACCATCATGGAAGAACATCCGGTCAAAGAGCAGTGGAGCTCTGCTGCAGGAGCACACCTCCTCCTGCAGGGGGAGCCTCGGTACGATCCTCACTTCTCTTTGTGTATCCTTCTATTGACTTTCTGTATTAAAGTCCAAGTATTTAGGACAAGCCCCCAGGAAGTGCGCCGGACTCTGATGAAAATATTTGTTGTGTCCAAACGGCGGTACTGCAATTTCCGTATCAGTCCGTGACACCGGCCCAAAACAACTTTTTCCCATTGACTAACATGGGGAAAGAGACAGAACATGCGCCCCTTAAGCCCCGCCCCCCGAGCTCCCACTCTCGGATCAGTAGCATGAATGGAGAGAGAACATCAATCTAGATTCGGCTTTTAGTGCATTTTACAACTTTAAGGACCGAATGATTCTAATAAGGTCTATACAAATGTTCATACTGGGTAGTTTATTTAGTTAAGAAAAAAGTATCCACCGATTTACAGACGTCTCTTTCCCCATGTTAGTCAATGGGAAAAAGTAGTTTTGGGCCGGGTGACGTCACGGACTGATACAGGAGTTGCAGTACCGCCGTTTGGACACAACGAATATTGGCACAGAGTCCGGCGCACTTCCTCGGGGTTTGGCACATACGGGTTCTTCTGCTCTGACAGCCAGGCATGATGGGTAATCTGTGACGTTTCGCTCTCTCAAAAGTTGGGCCATTTTGTCCTCATGCGCCAATGAGCAGCTCTCATAGGAAAGAACGAGACCCCGCCTCCCACGCTGTATCCAGTTCTTATTATACATCCATGATTTAGGTCCATTTACTTCCTATGCATGTTTATTCTGATCGACTGGACTCTTCTTAAAATTAAAAGTAACGTACATGCCTAACCTGAGCTGTGCTTGCAGTAGAATCCTGATTTAATGCATGTTTAAACAACTGGTAATGCAAACTTAACTAAAGCCTTTTATCACCAGCTCGCGCCCCTATAAAAAGAGTTGCTGTTAAAAAAAGCCGCAGTAGAAAGCGGCGGCTTTTTAACAACGCCAAACTGCGCCAACATTAGCTCCAATAGTTCGGTTGTAGTTGACTCCTTTAAAAAAAAGTAACATGCACAGCCAACGTCGATACTGCAGCTAAAATACTCCAACACGTTTTTGATTCCAGGAGCAGGAAGCGTGAGAAATATGTGTATCTGAGAACGCTGTAAATTGTCCCGTCTTGTTGCCGTAGTCCACAGTGATGACATTATGTGTGTGTGTGTGTGTGTGTATTTGAAGCAGCGCCCCCTGCAGGCCGCAGCGAGCTGGACGAGCTGCAGGAGGAGGTGCAGAGGAGAGCCCGGGAGGAGGAGACGCAGCGGAGGCAGGAGAAAGAGAAGGAGGCGGCGCTGGGATTCAACCCCAGACCCAGCAAGTACCTGGACCTGGACCAACTGCAGATCCAGGGTACACATAAGCTAACACCAGCACACACAGACACACTCGTGCACTTTTTCTTTGTCACTAGAATCTAATTTAAACTGCTGTATTTTGTGTGTGTAGGAATGTTCCCCATTGAGCATCTAAAAAGGCCGACAGACAAAAGACAGAATGACAACGCAGTCATTTCAGCGCGTGTGTGTTTTGTGTCTGTGTGTGTAGTACGCTGCACTGGCTGCTCTACACTTTAAACTGTGTTGTTAGTTGTTTTGAAGCTTTGAATATGAGAAAATATAATGTATGCAATCCATATTTGAGAGGCTGAAAACATAATTTCTGACATGTTAGCATGCAAGCTAACTATATTTGTAACTATATGTGTGTGGGCATGCAGGTAAAGGTGATGGTTTTGAGAGGTGTGTGTCGGAGGCGGAGCTTCTGTTGGATCAGACTGTGCGTCTGGAGCAGGCGGGCGAGGTCACGGCAGCGCTGACGGCCGTCAACGATGCCGTCTGTAAGTTCTTCCCACACACACACACCCTCACGCACACGTACACACTCAGTATCTCATACCAAATAATCACACTGTGAATGAGGTCACCGCACCCCCGCCCACCAACCTTCTGCTTTGTTGCTAATGGTAACCAGAGGGAGATTCACACACACACACACACACACACACACACACACACACACACACACACACACACACACACACACACACACACACACACACACACACACACACACACACACGTGGTCGCTGCAGCTGACACAAAAACAGATTCTAAACTGATAAAATCAGATTGAGAAATACAAAATGGTGTCACATCATTAACAGCTTAATGAGGGAAAAGTGTCAAATATTTAAAGTTCAACAAACTTTTAGATGAGAAGCAAACAAGTGAGTCGTGCCTGAGAAGCAGTGTCTCTTTCACAAAAATACTGTACTTTACAACTTGGCTCTTATTCTATTATTTTCTCTTTAAAATAAATCTGGTAAGCAATGTTCTTACTGTGTGAAAGTATTGGACACAGCAGGGTTAGGGTTATCATTTTGTTTATTTAACGTCTGAATATATTTTTTACCATTTCATCAGTGAGATCCAAAGTTATTGATCCTTCACTCAAACACAGTCACACCACCATCATGTCAGCTGGTTTTCTGTCGGGTGTATATTTGCTTTTTAAGATTTTTGCATGAAATCATCATAACACGTTATTTTCTGCATCCTTTCTTTTTCTTTTGTCCTTATTTATTCATTCCTCTCTTTTGTTTTTTTTGTTTCTTTCTGTATTTTCTGTTGTCTTGTGACGCGGCCGCAGCCAAACTGCAGCTGGCGGCGTCTGAGGCCGGAGCGAGTAGCCACGTCCGGCTGCAGCGCTGCATGAGGAGAGGGCGCAGCATGCAGCAGCGCATGCTGCTGCAGCAGCAGCAACAGGAACAGCCCAGGTACCACCTGTAGTCTCAGCTAACGAGGAGGAGCATAGCGTGCTGCAAGGGAGGATTCATTTTTGTAGTCTCGCCCTGAAGGCAGCATCTTCCTGGTTCTACAGAATTATGTCATCCCTGCAGCACTATATGAACGTGGCGGCCTGTAGGGGGCACTATCATGACTTTAGAGTTTATTCGGTCTTTATTAAGAGTGTGTGCCATGGTGGGAGATTGTCCACACACACACACACACACACACACACAACCAGCCGGAGCTCTCAAATGACACCATCTGTTCCAAACATACTGCAGGCCAACTCACATGTGCACTTCCTCAGTGTCCCAGTGACATGTAGTATTGCCAAACATTTATTCATTTATATTTGCAATCTGCCGTTGTTTAAAGCATATTACTGTGAATACTTAAGTTACAATATACAGATGTTATAAATGAAATAAACAAAATCAAACCGCCCGATTTTTCTATCTCTCTGCAGTGAAAAGCCTCTCCCGCTCCAAATACTTCTGACTGAAAGCGACCAATCAGCTGCTCGTCTGGACCAACAGGTCCCGCCTCCCTGCCTTGTTAAGCCCCTCCCCCCCAAGAAGAGCCCGATGTTGGACCCCGTCTCCAGCACTACATCCAGCGAGGAACGAGGGACTGGAGACCCCTGCTCTCTCTTTGGGAAACCCCTTGCCAAAACCAGATCCGTCCACCTGGGAGATGTGGCTCCGCCCCCTCGACCTGAGGAGGTGGAGCTTCCCACCCAGCGGACCCCAGCACAGGCCCTTCCCCCTTCACCTGGCGGTACTCATGACAGGTGTCTGATTAAGGGGCCGTCGTTTTATCCCCAGGCCCCGCCCCATGCTCCCCCCCCCTCCCCCCCCACCAGGAGCTGGTCCTGCTTACCCCCCTCTGATGTCGTCGATTCTCCTCCAATCAGCTCGTCCCTTTACTCGCCACCTGACTTCCCCTCCAACGTCCCCCCACCTCCCCCCAGCCAGGACTACACTGCGGCCCTGCCTGTAGAGCGATGGGCAGAGAACGTCAATAGATACTACGGCTCCCAGAATGCATCAGCGGGAGACGAGGAGCTGTCGGAGCTGGACTCGCTGTACCAGGCCAGTCTGATGGCTCCCAGCATGCACCGGGGAAACAGAAGACTCAGCCCTCAGCCAACCGATTCAGGTAGGAAACAATGAGAAGAAGTACAGCTGGTTTAAAGTGGGTGTGTGAAGCTTTAACATTTAACTCGTAGTGTCGCTATCGCACAACACTGCTTCTACTGTTAGTCCTGCATCTGTATTTATGACGAATATAATAATGTGTTTTTGTGTAGGTGTGAGAAGAATGCTGTCAGGATCAGGACGATCCAAAACACCGACAGCTGAGATTGAGAGATACGCCTACAGATCCCCGGCTGCAACACATAAGGTACTGTGTGTGTGTGTGTGTGTGTGTGTGTGTGTGTGTGTGTGTGTGTGATGTGTGTGTGTGTGTGTGTGTGTGTGTGTGTGTGTTGTGTGTGTGTGTGTGTGTGTGTGTGTGTGTGTGTGTGTGTGTGTGTGTGTGTGTGTGTGTGTGTGTGTGTGTGTGTGTGTGTAGTGTGTGGTGTGTGTGTGTGTGTGTGTGTTGTGTGTGTGTGTGTGTGTGTGTGTGTGTGTGTGTGTGTGTGTGTGTGTGTGTGTGTGTGTGTGTGTGTGTGTGTGTGTGTGTGTGTGTGTGTGTGTGTGTGTGTGTGTGTGTGTGTGTGTGTGTGTGTGTGTGTGTGTGTGTGTGTGTGTGTGTGTGTGTGTGTGTGTGTGTGTGTGTCCAATTTCAAGGCTTTTAAACATTTTTAAATTCTGTTTTAAAAATTCCCTACTGACCTTTGACCTCCATGCAGCGGGCAGGTGAAGACGAGAGCTACAGCGCATCGAACCTGCGGCGCATCACACGCAGCCTGAGTGGCACCGTCGCCGGGTCACGACCCCAAAACAGCTGCGTGAGTCAACACACACGTACACACATGTATACACACAAACAGTACAAGCATAAACACAAATAGGGAAATTACATATTACAAAAAGCTTTTAAAAAATGCAGAAACAAATCTTTGACGTCCTGGTGCCACCCTGTGTTTGTATAATGTAACTGCAGCCTGGTTCAGAGACTCTCAGTTTCTACTACTTGATAATAATTATCAATAACAACACAACTGTTTCATAAAACACTTCTTCAGTTTTATGGGATGACAGTTTTCTTGTGGTTATGACAATGTATTCATGGAAATGTCCAAGGAAATTATAAGAAGTTCCTCGAACTGTAATAAATGTATTATTTGTCTTTTTTAGTACAGTCCACAAAAACACATAACAGACACAACAACAGTAACGGCCCGTCCACACGGCAGAAGCGTTGAAGCTTCAACACTTCTGCCCATTCACTTTGAATGGGGTGACGTCACGCTTTGCCGAGCTGGCGGGAGCTTCATGTGATTGGTTGTTGGTCGAGTTTCAGACACGCCCACCAGTAAGCTTCAACGCACGCCGCCGTGTGGACGCTGCGTTAGATGAGTTGACAAGAGAAGTTCACAAAAAAGGAAATCCCACAATTTCATTCACTGCTCTTTCTGGATTCAGAACATCGAGGAGCTAATTTTAGAATTAAGTCCTGTCTGCTGTTTAGTAATAAAAGCTTAAAGGCAGAGCAAAGTGTGTATCAGAGTTCCCGTTAGAATATTTTTTCGCCGGTCAACATGTCCGTTAAAGTTTAAATCTTCCGGACACAATTTGAAAAGTGCCGGTCAAAGGTCTTCTTTGTTATTTATTGAGCTTTAAAACAAATTGATATGATTCGATATTAAACAAACTAATTATAGTAGATTAACTACATTATTCAAAAGTGAACAGTAACTTACAATAACACGGGGATAATAAACGGAGCGCTCTCTCCCTCTCCTGACAGCCCGTCAGTCTCATGCAGCTCGCGGATCAGTGATGAGTGACCCGACAGTAAAACTAAACATGTCTATAACTAGTTACGGTAGTTTGAGAGGTCATTAAAATAGCTATGTGTGATATTCTAACCTGAAGTGTGTGTTTTGTCCACTCACCGCTGATCATGCAGAGCTGCGTGTCGACTCGTCAGCAGCAGCTGATCTCTCTCTCCCGTCAGATTAGACTTCACTCGCGTTTATGTCCATATCGATCAGATCCAGCTTCTAGCTAATGATATGACTACCTGCTTATTAAAAGACACCTAAACAATAAGTGTCGCTATGCAACCGGGTGAGGCCGCAAAGTATAGCGCAGCATTATGCATTTGTTTACATGCCCACCGGAACCCCGAGGCATTACCAACAGATCAACGCACAATCAACCCATACAGGACATCTCTTTCTCCACATTAAGTGTTAGACATTAGAATGGACTATTCTTGTCTGTCACATACTCTTTTGTCAGTCACATCAGTGGCGCAAGTTGCGCAACCGATGTGGTATTGCGCTAAGGTGAAATTATTTTTGACCGGACACTTTGACCGGAGAGATTTAGATTTGCCGGTCTTCAGCATATTTTACCGGTCGTAGTCTGGTAATTACCGGCTAACGGGAACTCTGGTGTGTATATTAGTATAGAGTTTTTATATATAACACAATTCTATCAGCTATTTGCACCTGTGTAAACGCACCAAGTCAGAGGTGAGACATCTTATAGTTCAAGTGAAAGCTGCCTGTTGTATAAATAGAGATGTTAGGCTCAGAATAGCTGCTTTCTATTCCTCACACACTCCATTTTCTGGAAGTATTAAATCTGTCTCTGCTCCAGTCAAACGCTCCTGTGTGAAACGTAACAAGCTGTACGCCGGTTTTCTGCCCTCAGGATTCGCCTCGGGCAGCTCATTAAACTTTTATCAGTGATTTAGTTCTTCCATTAAGCTTTTAACCCGGCGCTCGCTGAGGTCTGACTGCAGATATCAGACGGTGAAACTCTCGGGGTGGATTAAAGTGAAAACACGGAGAACCTGCAGTCATCGATCCTCATCAATGATTCACACTCTGACATGAAGAGAGAAACCTCTTACTGCTTCTTTACTGAGGCTGAACACAGTTTAGAGAGGTTGTGTGAGAGATGTACTTAAGATTTAAGACACCTCAAATATTCTGATTAAACGTATAATAACAAACGCTGTAGATAATTAACAGAGCTTTTCATTGCAGTCAGCTATAAATAAAAGTCAAATTTAAATATCAAGTATTTTATGAATATTCTCAGAGAATATCCAAATGTTTCTAGAAGTATGACTTAATATCCAGACGTCCATTAATAACACCCTTCATCTGGTTAAAAGCACAGATCTAAAACGTATAACAAATCAAAACTCACCTTCACCGTTTTTTTTATTTCTAGAAAAACTTGTATCTTTGGAGATACAAGTTTATTTCTGTCATTTCTCCTGTTTTTCATTCATCATGTTGACTTGTTTTAATTTGGTACCTCCTCCATCCATTCTCTCCTCCATCCATTCTCTCCTCCATCCATTCTCTCCTCCTTTCTCCACTTTCTCATCCATTCTCTCCTCCATCCATTCTCTCCTCCATCCATTCTCTCCTCCTCCTCTTCCTCCCCCTAAAGGAGCCCTCTGTGTCCAGACCGACCCTCAAACACTCCTACTCTTCCTCCTCCCTCCCCCGCCGCCCCAGCTCCTCCTCCTCCCTGCACACTCCCTCCTCCTCCTCCTTCACTACAGATCCCTCCCACCACCTCCTCCTCCAACACCACCACCATCCCCCCCGACACCTCGGCCCCTCAGCTCCTGCACCTCCTCCACAGCACCCCCCCCTGCAGAGATCACAGCCCCCCAGCTCGGGCCCCTCCTCCTGGGGACACTCAGGTAACATGCAGGCCCTCCGCCTCCACGCACCTCCTCCATAACAACCACCTCATAATAAAAAAACTCGAACTAACCACCAAATAAATATAACTTTATTTAAACGTTTTCAGATTTTGTTTTTCATAAGCTTCAGGTCATGTGACTATTAAATCATTTCTGATTGGTCAAGGAGAAACTGTCTGTCAATGAAGAGTTATCAGACATTCGGCTTAGTGTAATATTTGTTTTCCTATTACCTCAACTAACTCTACCCCCCCCCCCTCTCCCCTCAGGTGGCGGGCCCCCCCCTCCAGCAGCAGTTTCTGGCTGTGTCTGACGGGCGTTCGTCTCTCTCAGGTCACGCTCTGAGTTACGGCACGCTGCCCCGAGCCCCTCGCCTCCCCCCTCCTCTCTCCTCCTGCAACACCTCCTCCCTCTCCAGACCCAGACCCACCCCTGCCCCCCCTCACAGTCTCTACGCAACCCTGTCCCGCCCCCACCGCTCCGCCCCCCCTCCCACCAACGGTCACCTAACGTCTAACTCGAGCTCCGCCCCTTCCCAGCCGATGCGTCTCGACGTCCCCCCCGACACCGACTGGCGCCTCCAACCCAACTTTCGGACTGTCAGCTCCTCCTCCTGGGACCCCCGCGCTGCCCGACACCACCTGCCCCCCCCACCACAGCCTCGCCGGGCCCCCCCCCCACTCTGCTCGCTCTGTCAGCAGTTCCCCGCAGAGCCGCCGCGTCCCTACTGCCTGTCGTGCGGCGCCTACGTGGCTCGCTTTCGCCCCGTCAGGTGATCCGGAAACCCCCGCCTTCAGACACTCCCAACTAAATGCCTGTGTCACGTATAGTTCTGCAGGTTTTTCAGTAGTCTGACCCCGAAGGTAGCATCTCCATGGTTCCCTCTATAAAAAGAAACGTGATTTTTTTTTCATTGGATTTTTGGAATATGGCAGAAAATAAGCTCTGTGACAAACAATTATGATACTGACAGGTTTCGTTCAGCAGGATAAACTCCACATGATTTTAACGTTGACATGACATCACTACTGCTAAGCTAAAGGCGCTAATGTTCGGCGTGATGACATTTAGCAGTCTCATTCAGCAACAACGATGGGGCATTTACTGACGTATTTTATGTTGTTAAAACTCAACGTTGATATGTCTTCAGCTTGTGTTAACCACAGAGCTTATTTCTAACCAATAACCATTAAAAAGATCCCATTGTATTCAACACGAGGGAACCAGATGTGCAGAACACATTTCCTGGTTTTAAGACTCATACCTGCAGAACTCAAACCCACCAATATTTTATTTTTAAAATGTGCCAATGTTTCTTTAAATCCATCGCTGCCCATCACCCTCAGAGCAGAAATCTGCCACAAACTTCTCACAAGTGTCCCCCCCCTTCTCACTGAACCCCAGACATTTTTGGGGTTTGATCTCCTACACACAGAATACAAATGTCTGCTGGATAAAAGCACATTTAGATTTCTACTCAAGAGAAATCACCGTGATACAAACCAGGAGAACGAGGAGACGCTGCTGCTGTCTGATAACGGTTCATCAAAATGTGACAAAAAAACACGTCTATATTCACAAACAGGCTCCGATATTAACCTTCATCTGCTGGTAGTCAGTCTTAATCAACAGGTTTATTTAACAGTGAAAACACACTCAATTAGCAGCATCTATTTTGAGCCTTAATTTTGAGATATTTTATTCAAGTAGGCGTTATTTTTAATGGAGATTAAAGATGAACAATTTACAAGAAATATTTCTATATATTCTCTTAAGAAGTCATACAGAAATGGACCACTTTAATTTAATAGATATTCATAAAACATGTAATTGTATTTTCTCCTTAACTCTCTTACTACTTAAAGGTGGGGTAGGTAAGTTTGAGAAACCGGCTCGAGATACACTTTGTTATATTCCATGGAATGCTCTTAACATCCCGATAGCAATTAATATCTTAAATGCTTTGACAACAAATCCATAACAAAATGTCATCTGTGGAAGCCGTGGCGCTGTAAAAAGCACGACCAATCATCTGAGCCGGCTAAAGTAACTGGATGGCCTACCTGCCTGTCAGCCTTCCATCTGTGCACAAACTTATCTCGTGCCCTCATTGGTCATGTGCGCGTTCCTGTGTGTTGGAGGAGGGTCTCTGTAAGGAAAGGGCAGATTTTCTCCAGCTGTGTATTTTCAAATTCTAGCGCACTCGAGCTGGTTTCTCCAAAATTACCTACCCCACCTTTAAAGAATAAATAAATTGATCACTTTAATCTCAGAATATAAATGTTTTTATCATGATTTTTTTTTTATCCAAAAATGTGAATCTTTGAAATGTTACCCCTCCCTTTCGTGCATAATTGATTGATTTTTTTTTTTAACCTAAATCGTGATCGTAAACAGCCGGCAGTATAGAGAGGCGAAGTCCCGCCCATCTACTTCCGCCCCATGGGACCTTATTTTGGAAAAACTATGTATTGAAGTCAATGGTGAGAGAAAGATTCGTGAATTGTGCCACATATTGTGTACACATATGTTTGTCAATCTTAAAAAATAATTTCCATGACAAAAAAGAAACAGTTTGTCGTAAAACTGTTGAAATATAAGACTATGAAAAATACGCAACTAGAAAGACTACAAATCCCAGAATCCCGGTCCCGCATGCTGGCTCTTACGAACCGACTAACTCCCCTTGTGTGTATGTACAGCTCTCAACGTGCCCAGACTTGGAGTGATTTTCACCTCTTTTAATACTTTCTGCCTCATTCTGAAAGAAAGAAGTGAAATGTTCCAACGTGACGGCCGTCTTGGTGTGTGGGGCGAGACGGGAGTTGTAGGTCATTGAGCGGTTCACAAAAAAAGAGTGTTACTTCACATTTTTACGACACATTTAAAATGTTTTGACTTGCAACATTATCTTTTAAATTGACAAACATCATATGTGTAATTCGTGGCACAATTCAAACGGGATCGAAAGATAACCTTTCTCTCTCCATTGACCTCAATACATACTTTTTCCGAAATAAGATCCCATGGAGGTCCCCGGAAAGGGAGGGACTTCGCCTCTCTATGACGGTGAAAACAGTTTGAGTTGAATATGGATGTGTCTGTTTTTGTCATATTCTGACGACAGGAAGTAGAAAAGCTGGGTCTCTACCTGCCGTTTGTGTCTCAGAAATATAAATCTACTCTACTTATATTCCTCTATTTATTTTTGTAGGCTTGTGAGACTGAGTCGTGCATAGATGAAAGTATTCTACTTGAATATACTCTCCTACTATAATCTAATTTTCTAAAGGTAGTCGCCTTCTTATACTGTACCTGAGGCTGTTAGAGATTAATAAACTAAAAGCTTTTATTTTGACAGCTAATATTTAGCATGGTGTTTTATTATAGCCTTGAGAGACTTTGGTGTACACTCATTGTAACGACGATATATGCAGATATTTTTTAGTTGAACTCTAACTTAGTGCACTTCAGAAGTGACGGTAGATTTGTTTCACTGCTTGTTGCTGTTTCTGTTGTTCAGGGAGAGGCTCCTCGTTTACGTTTCTGAGATGTGCTCGGTAAACTTTAAATCTGTTTCATAGATTAAGGAAGGAACACTCGGATGCTGTTTTAGTAACTACATCCAACCCCACCCGCATGGTGCCCAGGTTAGATAAAACAAACGCACCCAAGTCTGATGTGAAGTCAAACACAATGCTTTGACCTGCTGTTATTCTGCAGGTTACTAAAAATATTAATATTGCAAAAGAACTAATTATTCCTCGGTTAACTGAATAATGGATATATATTTTCTAAATAAAATCAGACTTCATCAGTTCATTTAAATTAAATAATGAAGTTATTTTTTCACCATGTTTAAACTTAAAGTTGTTTTTTTGTGCTTTTTATTTTTGCTTCGCCAGATTTTATTTGTTTTTGGTATATTTTTGATGCTTATTTTTCTACACTGTAGAATTAACAGAGATGATTAAAATGTTTGAAAAGCAAGAGTGTCTTTTTATTTTTTGTTGAAGTATGTCACAGCATCACATCCCTTTATTATATTTATGACATTACATTAGGGTGGTCCTTAAAATGTAAAGTCGGAAAGTGTAAGCTCCAACCCTGTAAGAAATTAAAATAAATGTATATGGCGTAATTTAGATTACATATACTGTAAACTTAAAACAGTTTTATTCTGAAAATACTTAGTTTCTGGCTAACATTATTGCTGAGTGTTAAATGAATGTACAGTTTTATTTTGAAAAGCTTTATAGAAATACATCCCCGTTGTTTACATGACGTCACTTCTGGCTTCGCGTTATCAATGATTACAGCCGCGAGACACCCCAGGTGAATAGGGTACATTTTTTAACTTAAAGGTATCAGCTAGAAATTTCTCCAGTTAATTACTTACAATAAGGCAATTGTCTTTTGTATTACAAGTTTTCTGAAATAGCATGTTTAAATATGCAAATTATCCATTATCTCATTAAATATGCACATATTTTAACACATTTCAGGAATCGAAATCTGAACTTTGGATATAGCCAGGTTCAAAATGATTGTTTCATTTTGTAGTCATATTAGTATCTAAGGCTTTTACAGAAGGGATATTGGATATCTCTTTTTATCACTCCATAAATCAGAAAATACTGTCAACAGCCCTAAAATATCAATTTTCGCCATGTTTTTAGGTATACAATGTTGTATAATTCAGGCTATGAATTATATATGAACAAACCCTTCTGTAAAAGCCTTCATAATATTGATAGGAATATAACTGGAAGGTTTGGTGTATCTACGTGCTACTGAAGTTGACATTTCGAACTCAGAGTAGGAGAAAAAACTCATTTTGAGAAAACGACCTTTAAAGATTGCAGTGAGGCGCTAGCTAAACCCTCCTGTTCTTTGGATGATAGCTTGCGCATCGACGCACTCCGTGAAGGTATTTCATGTTCAGGGTCATTTTTTTTTGTATAACCTTGCTTCGTGCAAGTGACAATTGTTGTCGTCTTCTCTGTGAACGTTTTTTTCGCCGTTCTTTTGGCATTTTGAGATTTCAATTTCTAGCTGAAAGCTAACCAGGAAGTGTTTTAGCACACCACGTGACGCATCTGAACGAATCACGTTGTCAGAAATTGACACCAGCCAATGAGATTTCGTTTCTTGGTTTAAGACCCCTTTGTGCTTTCATGATTGGTTGCTGATACAAAGGAAATGACCATATTTGGATCCGATGAGATTGTGCAGGAGAGACGGAGCTTTCCAGCGATACCTCTGTTGACATGGTGCACACAGCGGTCGCGGTACTTTATGTTACGTTAGAATGCTAACTTTTGGTGAATTTAGGAGAAATCTACAGACGCAAATAGACAAACTATAGTAAAATAAACACTTAAATGTGTATTTTGTACGTTTTCCTTCCAAAAGCCTGAAAGAAAACATGTTATGGAATCAAAATAGCACAAAATCTCAAAATTGACCAGTACTTGAAAAACGATGTTTTTGCCTGCCGTGTCTCACCTTAAAATGCATTAAATAAAAAGTCATGAATGAGAATACGAGGAGAAAAGGCGTATGGAGTTATACAATGAACACACAACGTCTAAATCCTCTTATTTACGCGTTATCAGACACAGAAGAACGAGTAGAGGGAGACCCCCATCGTAGAAGCCGCCAATGAGAGGAGGAGCCAGGAAACGGCCATAGGCTCGGTCCAATCGGTCTCTCTTCTTCCGAACATGGCGCTGTGTTCCTGATTCGCTCTGTCTGTTTCAAAACCGCGTTACTTCATTAAAGTACACCATTTGAACTTTTCCGGGACTACATTGTCTCTTTTTAACTTCCTCCTGGACTGGAGAACAATGAACAAATCTACTACCCCCAGAATTCATTCTATTAGTCCAGAAAACTCTCCTGGTTAATGTTTTCCTCAGACAACAATTACTACTTCCTCATCGACCTTGAAGTTTAGCCTCAGTTGCAGCTAAACTTCAAGGTTGATGAGGGAGGGGTAAATGTTGTTGGAATTTGAATAAAATTCACCAGGAGGGTTTATCATAACGAATTCCGGTGGTTGAAATAAATGAATTCGAAAATGTACATGGCACTAAGGACCACCCTACATTACATTATATACAATGAATATATGGTGATCATTTAGATTTTTTCCCTCAGTCCTCTAGTGTTTTGGTGCATGTAAATGGTCTGCAGAGGCTAAAATGTATCGCTAGGCAGTCTCTGTATCATGGATCAAACAAACATTGTAGATAAAACCTTTTTATTAAGTTACACACAGTTTAGAAAGAATGCTTTATCATTAAAAAAAACACATTCATCACAAACATCAGCTGTTCCTTTATATAAATATATATATACTGCTCTGTGAATTTTCTTTACCTTATTATAGTGGTACTTTACAAACATTACACACACAAATATATTCTTTATGTAAATGAAAGACTCCCTTTAGAGACAGGATATGATTGCTTTTACAGACATGTTTAACCTTTCTGAGACAGCAGCTGATCTGTGGTCAGACTAATGAAGAAGGTCAATATATTAATCTGGACTTCAGGTTAAAATGACACTGCAGACTCAACCAGAGTCAGGACGTTAGCCTAGCTTAGCATAAAGACTGTAAGCAGATAACCTGGCTCTGTACGAAGTTAAAAAATATATTACACCTCTTAAATCCACATTGGTTCCCTCCACAATGTAGATTTTGGATTATCGCAGAAAATAAGATAAGCAGGATAATCTCCACATATTAACACCACTGCATGATTTTTGAAGTAAAAAGCTAACGTTGGGTTATAAACGAACTACAGCAAGGTCACATGACTTCACGTCACCAACACTAAGCTAAAGGCAACTAATGTTGGGCGTGATGACGTCTAGTCGTAGAAAGCATCAGATCTTATAACCAAAAACCATTTACTTCCAGATTGGGAAACAGGAAGTGCTAAATTGCTGACTCGTATCAGGGATTTTTGACTCATTCCCACATGATTTTTTGATCATGTTGCCTTAAAGGTTTGGTATTTGAATCTTGTACAATAAAGTGTAAAAAAAAGTCTCTTTGGTCCCCAGCGCTCAAGTGGTGAAGTGCTGCAAAATCACTTCAATACATGACGGACAAAAACTTCCTGAAACTGTTTTCGGATACACATTTTAAAGGTCACCTATTATGCAAAATCCTCTTCTTCATGTCTCTTCTACATCAACATGTGTCCCCTCTTCTTCATGTCTCCTCTACATCAACATGTGTCCCCTCTTCTTCATGTCTCTTCTACATCAACATGTGTCCCCTCTTCTTCATGTCTCTTCTACATCAACATGTGTCCCCTCTTCTTCATGTCTCTTCTACATCAACATGTGTCCCCTCTTCTTCATGTCTCTTCTACATCAACATGTGTCCCCTCTGTGGAAAGAGACTCTGAAAGTTTCAGGAAAAAGATTCTCTCTCTTTTTGTCCTGATCCATTTCTATAAAAACCTGTCTGAAAATGAGCTGATCAGATTTTGGCCACTTTATGATGTCATAACGATTTTTTTGGCTTGTGTAACCATTAGCCAATCCCTTCAGAGACATGTTTTGTATATATCTGAGAGCTATAATATATTGATGAAAAACAGTATAATAGGGGACCTTTAAGTTGTTTTTGTACAGTATTAAACCCTATTTAAATTTGACGTTTTTTGAGATTTTGCAATTGAATCTCATTTTGTACAATAAAGTCTGTTTTGCCCACAGCGCCCTCAGGTGGTTTGGTGCAGCAGCAGCACGTTGAACACGGTGTCCCTTGACTCCCTCAACGATCCTTCTTTTATCTCCAGCCTCACCTCCTCCCCCCTCCTCAGAGGCAGGACCACTGCACCGGTGACGGGCCCCTCTGTGCCCCCCCCTCGTCGACGGAGGGACATCGGCACCCCCCCTGCCCCCCCCCTCCTCAGCATCACTTGTGTGGGTCCAGGCCTCAGGTCCAGGGTGAGGGAGAACAGGTAGACCCCGCTCTGAGGAGCCGTGAAGACGCCGCTGTCAGAGTAAACCTGATCGCGGTTTAAGGACGTTTCAAACACGAGGACGCTGGAAACGCTGCGAGGAGATCCGGCCACGATCAGCAGGGAGGCCCCCGAGAGGCGGGAGGGGTCCGGGGCCACAACTGGAGAGGAGACAGAGCCTGGTTTAAATGAAATACAACAAGAGAAACATTCAAGGATTCAAGGCTTTTATCGTCATTTGTACATAGCTACAGTGTAGTTATGACAATGAACATGAGGTCACAGGCTCCTCCTCCAACAGTGCAACACAATAAAAGTAAACAAACACTGAAATAATACGAAAAAGTTGGAGAGGAGCCAAAGACACGGCAGCCATCGTCACCATCTTGCTACATAGATCTGATGCAAGAAATACTCATACTGACAGATCTTTTCTGGGAGAATACCTTCATTTTTAAATATTTATGACATTCAATATTAAGATTTTTGATACTGACTTTGTTTTACCGACTATATTATGATGTTATGTCTCCTCCTCTCACCTGAGTCCTCCCTCCTGCTCCTCTCGTGTCCTCCCCTCTTCCTCTCCTTCCTCCCCTGTTTCTCCTTCAGCAGATGCCACAGCTGGTCGAGCTGCAGCGATGCATCGGAGCTCATCAACACATCAGCGTTACTGAACACGTTCTTGAAGACCTTCAGGTGCTCCTCCAGGCCTCTCCTCAGCCACTGCACCTCTGCCTGCAGTTTGTCCTCCACACCAGCGGGGGGCGCCTCTCTTTCCTCCTGCAGGCTGAGCAGCTTTAACCCCAGCTCCTCCACCCTCCGCTCCAGCTTCCACAGGTCTCCCCCGTCCCCCCCGGGCTGCAGGAGGAGCTGCTGACGCTCGCGGGCTCCAGATCCTGAGCTGCTCCTCCTCATGTCAGGGAGGGGGTGTGAGGAGGATGAGGAGGATGAAGGCTGGTCGGAAACCATTCCTGGGAGCAGAAGAGACAAATACATGAGTCCAAAGCTGCATCCCGTGTTGCTTCAACGTGCATCCACTTTTCCTTCACTTTTTTCCTTGCGTCTTAGTACCTCCCAGTGATACATGGAGAGACACAAGACATCCACGATAAGAGACGAAATAAGACGATGTGTTTTAAAGGTCCCCTATTATACTGTTTTTATCAATATATTATAGGTCTCAGATATATACAGAACCTGTCTCTGATTGGCTGAAACACCATACAGATCATTGCAGCATTACCCATAATCCCCTCTGTTTCAGCCCTGTTTCCAAAGTGCAACAACACATGTTGATGTAGAAGAGTCATGAAGAAGAGGGGACACATGTTGATGTAGAAGAGACATGAAGAAGAGGGGACACATGTTGATGTAGAAGAGACATGAAGAAGAGGGGACATGTTGATGTAAAAGAGACATGAAGAAGAGGGGACACATGTTGATGTAGAAGAGACATGAAGAAGAGGGGACACATGTTGATGTAGAAGAGACATGAAGAAGAGGGGACACATGTTGATGTAGAAGAGACATGAAGAAGAGGGGACATATGTTGATGTAGAGGAGACATGAAGAAGAGGGGACCCATGTTGATGTAGAGGAGACGTGAAGAAGAGGGGACACATGTTGATGTAGAAGAGACGTGAAGAAGAGGGGACACATGTTGATGTAGAAGAGACATGAAGAAGAGGGGACACATGTTGATGTAGAGGAGACATGAAGAAGAGGGGACACATGTTGATGTAGAGGAGACATGAAGAAGAGGGGACACATGTTGATGTAGAAGAGACATGAAGAAGTGGATTTTGCATAATAGGTGACCTTTAAGAGCAAAGAGACGTCCTCAAGAATCATCCTGCTGCTTCATATCTAAGAAAGAAACAATCCCCAAATGCTGAAACTCATGGTACTTTGATATTTCCATTTTATGCTTCTTTACACTTCTGTTCAACTACTTTTTACTGTTTATATGACAAGGAAACATACTCCCTCTACACTACAGGAAAGGGAACACCACAAAAAGCATAATAGGGCCTCTTTAAGCACAATCAATATGTTTGTTGTTATTGATGCATAAATGATGTTTCGTCGGTAAAGACTTCCTTTACTGCCCTTGATTAAACGCTCCCACCTGGTTTGCTCCTCCCTCCCAGCTGCTCCTGCAGGACCCTCAGCTGCTCCTTCAAGGATGGGATTGAATGTGCCTCCTGGTCCTGGACAGGCCACTCCAGGAACTCCATCACCTCCTCCCCCAGCAGGAGCTCCAGGACGTCGCTGTGTCTGATGGCGTCCGTCAGCAGAGACTTGAAAGAGGCGGAGAGACGCTGCTGCTCCTCGACCAGCCGCTCGTCCTCCTCCTGCAGCGCGGACACCTTCGTCTGCGTCTCCGTCAACGAGCTCCTGATCCGGGTCACGTTCACCTCCAGGGCCCGGCTGTGGATCTGCTCCAAGGACATGGACTCCTTCACCTGCAGCAACCGAGACGGATACATTTTTCATGTGCTTTATAGTTTTTGCCCATTTTGCAGACAGTTAAATTGGAAAGGAGAACAAAATAAATTCTGTTCGGAGGTCAGATTCAAACCCTGGTTGTTTGTACTAATAATGGAAAACTAACAATCAAAAAAAGATATAATAATAATTTAAAGGTCCCCTATGATACTGTTTGTCATCAATATATTACAGGTCTCAGATATATACAGAACCTGTCTCTGATTGGCTGAAACACCAAACAGGTCATTGCAGCATTACCCATAATCCCCTCTGTTTCAGCCCTGTTTCCAAAGTGCTGATTCTCTGTCTGTTACTTTAGATGAAAATAAGGAGCCCCTCCCCACGCACCTCTGAGAGAGATTTGGTTAAAAAGAACTCAATAGCCGCTTGCACCCCTAGTACTTTTCCCACTTTAGTTCCGATATAGTTCTGAAATGTTGCGTTCACACCAAAAAGAGCCGGAACTAAAATGAGTTCATGAGAACCTTTTTACCCCCTTTTCCGTCCCGTCTAGAGAGCAGGGACTTTCGTGGGAGAAAAAGGTTCCTCTGTCTGATTGGCTGGGCGGATTGCAACCCACGCCCCGTAAAACTCAAAAAAAGTTTTGTGAAGCTGCCATTTTATTATCCTGGCATTAGCTTATTAGCATTAGCCCAGCGCACAAACGCAGAGACTAATTTATGGCAACACAAAATAAAACATGGGAGCGGTGGAGATGAGGAGGTGTCGGCGTTCTGGCGATTTACTCGGAAGGCTTCAGTAGAAGCTGCTGGGAGTCCCAGAAGCTTCTACTGAAGCCAGTCCCTAACTCCGGGGACTTCGGGTGGAAGAATACGCCGTGAAGTTGTTTGCGGCCTGCCAGTAAACCCAAAGCAGAAGCAGAAAAAGTGACATCAGCGGCTTCATTTGCCTAATCCTTCCCCTGGGACTTATTCCGGTGTGAACGCGTGTTGAACTGTTGTGAACGATTCATCTCTTGAATGCTCTTATGCTGACGCCATATCTGTCAATCTGTCAATCACACAGCTGGTTCTAATAAAGGGATCATTGCTGGCTCACTCGGCGAACTCAGTCAGTGTCATGTGAACTACAATGCAAGTGTGTGGCGTCTTTTATTTCTCCGTAGTATTAGTCCAAGGCTATCTAGACCTTTGCTGGTAATGGCTGCTGCGCCAACAGGTTATGGGCCCAGAAAGGATTTTGGAAACCGATGGAATCGTTTGTGCTTTGACGGAGATGAGAAAAACTATGAGTTGTGGGAAACAAAGTTTCTTGGCCACCTGCGTCTACAAGGGCTGAAAAGCACCATATTGAAAGAGCCTGACAGTGGCGGAGGCGAAGAGGACGCAGAAGGAGCCGCGGTAAGAGCCGCAGAAGACGCTGATAAAAATGAAGAAGTCTACGCTGAACTTATTCAATTGTTGGACGATACAAGTTTGTCTCTGGTCATGAGAGATGGAGCGGACGATGGGAGAAAGGCGTTGAAGATTCTGAGGGATCACTACGCAGGTACAGGAAAACTGCGTGTGATCAGCTTGTATACAGAGCTTACGTCTCTCCAGAAATATGCTAATGAAAGCATCACAGACTATATTATACGAGCAGAGACTGCTATCACAGCACTGAGGAATGCAGAAGAGATTTTGAGTGACGGTTTATTGATAGCTATGATTCTGAAGGGGCTGCCAGCGTCATTTAAGCCGTTTTCTATCCACACTACACAAAGTGATGAGAAGATCACCTTCGCCGAGTTCAAGACCAAGCTGAGGAGCTACGAGAGCACTGAGAAGTTCAGTGGGAGCTCAGTTGATGACAGCGTGATGAAAGTAAGAGGCAAAGACTTTGATGTGAAGCTGCTGACCTGTTATACTTGCGGCCAGAAGGGTCACAGGGCCCGCGAGTGCAAGGCTGCTGGTCACGGGGAACAACAGAGACAGTGGTGCCGTTTTTGCAGGAGTTCCACGCACAGAGATGCAAACTGCAGGCGGAGAGGACGACGAGACAACGTAAAACAGGCCATGGACGAAGAGGACCACGACCACCACCACACATTCGCCTTCAAGGCCCGCGAACGACAGGTGGACAGCGACCCGGGCGATGGACTGAAGCAAAGAGGGCTTATGGTCGACACCGGTGCTACATCGCACATAATGACTGACATGAACAAATTCAAAGACTTTGACGAGAGTTTCGAGCCACGAAAACATGTCCTGGAGTTGGCTGATGGAGTGAGGGCCTCTGGCATAGCGCTGAAGAGAGGTGCAGCCAAAGTTAGGCTGAAAGACAATACGGGTCGAGAGGTGGAGACTATGCTGACGGGGGCGCTGTACGTCCCATCCTTTCCCCAAGACATTTTCTCGGTCAAAGCAGCGACGACCAATGGAGCCACGGTCGTATTCAAAGAAGGACAGAACAAGCTCATTCACGAGAACGGTACGACATTTGATATTAAGGTGTATGATAGATTGTTTTATTTAAACACAGTTAATGATGAAGATGTTGATGAATGTCATGGGTGTTATGATATCAAAACATGGCACGAAATTCTAGGTCACTGTAACTACGAAGATGTGTTGAAATTGCAAAAAGTCACAGAGGGTATGACAATTAAAGGCAAAACTGATACATCTAATTTGACATGTGACGTGTGCACAAAAGGGAAATTTGCTCAGAGCAGGAGCAGAGAGCCAGATGAAAGGGCAAAGGCTGCACTGCAGCTTGTACACACAGATTTGTCTGGACCTATAGATCCTACAGCTAAAGATGGGTTCAGATACACATTAGCATTTACTGATGACTATTCAGGAGCAGTTTTTGTTTATTTTTTTAAATCTAAGAGTGACACAGTCAAGGCTTCTGAGAAGTACATTGCTGACATTTCACCTTATGGAAAAATCAAATGCATTAGATCTGATAATGGTACTGAGTATACTTCTGGTCAATTTCAGTCATTGCTAAGTAGAAATGCCATCAGACATGAGACCTCAGCTCCTTATTCACCCCATCAAAATGGGACAGCTGAGAGAAATTACCTTAAATTACCTTAGTTGCTGATTGGCTAATGGTTGCACAAGCCAAAACATCGTTATGACATCATAAAGTGGCCAAAATCTGATCAGCTCATTTTCAGACAGGTTTTTATAGAAATGGATCAGGACAAAAAGTGAGAGAATCTCTTTTTACAGAGGGGACACATGTTGATGTAGAAGAGACATGAAGAAGAGGGGACACATGTTGATGTAGAAGAGACATGAAGAAGAGGGGACACATGTTGATGTAGAAGAGACGGAAGAAGGGGGACACATGTTGATGTAGAAGAGACGAAGAAGAGGGGACACATGTTGATGTAGAAGAGACATGAAGAAGAGGGGACCACATGTTGGGTAGAAGAGACAGGAAGAAGAGGGGACACATGTTGATGTAGAAGAGACATGAAGAAGAGGGGACACATGTTGATGTAGAAGAGACAGGAAGAAGAGGGGACACATGTTGATGTAGAAGAGACATGAAGAAGAGGGGACACATGTTGATGTAGAAGAGACATGAAGAAGAGGGGGACACATGTTGATGTAGAAGAGACATGAAGAAGAGGGGGACACCATGTTGAGTAGAAAGAGACATGA